GTGGTTGGACACGTTTTGAGATTCAAGAATCCATACAGTTATTAACTCAATATATATAGGCAGAATGGAGTTCTTTAGTCTTAAAAAGAATAAAATAAAGTTGTCCCAAGTCTCATGCTTAGTATGTTTAAATTCAAGTGAAATAAAGTTACAAAAAGAGACTAAAAATTATGTAACTTGATTAAATTTATAATACATTGTTATTCTTTACGTATGGATAAATAACTTAAGGTTATTTGCCAAAATAATACATCATTTGTTTAAATGTTGGAAAATATCATGTGAGCATTGTAGATGCTAGTGACAAAATATTCTTGCCAAGTAGGAATGAATAAGCTATTAATTTAAAGTCAGGAATTGGAACAGAATTACAAGAATATATAGGACACACAATAAATGTGAATGCATCACTTATCCTTTCAAATGTGAATCTCTGTGTTTCCTTTCTCTGCTTCTATTGTCTAAAATCAGTTATGTTTACCAGCATGACTGTGAGAAGGACCATTGAAATGTGTGCAGCTACTGACAATTCACCCTGAATGAGTGCCTTCATTTTCTTGGATACTCTTAAATCAGTGAAATAAGGTTAAAATAAACATTCAGGGGATCTTTTGAAGAGGAAAGTAAATAGCATAGATATACTTTTACAAAAGCACTGGGGAACCAGGAAGATTGTCCAAACATTGTTGTCTGGGACGGTGGCAGTGGGATTGATGGAACGAGCATCTCCAGTAACTCTGGAGACCCTCTTCTCAGGCTGCAGCCTGACTCATTGTCCACCCTGAGATCCAAACCCAACATTCTCAGAGAGTGGCATCATACCAAGTGCCTTTGAATTAGCAAAGATGAAATCCGATTTAGTAGGCTCTAAGAAAAGGATATTCTTATTGTCTTTTAATTCTTTTGAAAAAATACACTGCACATAGTAATTCAATCAAAATGAGCTTTCTTATTATAGAAAAGAGTATTATATATATCTTTATGATTAGACAACACACATTTCAATATTCTTTGGATTGCAACATTTAATATTGAAAATAAAAATTATAATTAGTAGATTCCTGATGTGGTAAAGTAGCTAGAAAAGAATTTTTTTGTAACCGAACATAATAACCTACAGGGTTTATGTAAGGATGATGAATATAAATAACAGGTTTCATTTATGAGTCAAACACATATAATTTAACTATCTATCATCTATCTATCTATCTATCTATCTATCTATCTATCTATCTATCTATCTATCATCTACCATCCATCATCTATATGTGTGCATACATATATGCATTTGAGGAAATGAAAGCTAGAGAAACAATTCAAGTAAAACTAGTCCCTTCATTTTTTCCTTGTTTATAATTTTCATTACATTGCCATCTAGTGGTTACACAGGTATTAAAAACAAAAGTATTATAGCAACTTGGTATCAGAGGGCCAGTATATAATCAGACATATAATTTTCTATCAGAGATAGAATATAATTCATAATTTTATTTTAAGCTTGGAATCTTAAAATCATATTCAAAGACTGGAAGAAGGAAGAAACCCTTAGGCCAAATACAATAGAGCTACAAGCAAGGACCCCATTCAATCAAGTATTTCATATTTACTGATTCTATATTCATGCTCAGTGCTTAGTGTTTATTCAGAATCTGGCTTCCATTTCTTGGAAACATGGCCAGATCCAGGCCAGCCTGCAGAGACTAAATAGAACTTTTAAACATGGTGATTTTCAGTACTTAGTTTAACTCCATGAAAACCTTATTTCTGGCAAACAACAACAAAAACCCAGTTGTTTGCATTGGACTTTTCTAAATTATTGTACAGTTGCATAATAACACAAACCTTGTTGAATATATTAATAAGGTACATTCTTATTAGAGTTAAACTTTGAATACTCTTTCTAGAGGAAATTCTGAGGAAGTAAGGCAATCTTAATGTTAAATGTTTTGTTTTACTTACATTAACATTAAATTTAGATTTGGGATTAAACCTTATTTTTAAAAAGAAAATTTTATATTAAGTATGTGAGAACTCACACATTGCTGAGCTTGTTTATTTGTCAAATTTTGGTTGGATGTGCACCAACCAAAAAACAGACAATAAAACTGGGATATGTAAAGCATATTCTTACTATTAGCAACAAATTTGTTATTCCCTTCTGAAATTTGGATTGAGACATGAAAGTTTAAATTTGACTAATATTTTCTTTCATTACCAGTGGTAGCTTTACTCTATCACTTCTTGTTTATGAAAAAATATATACATAAGTACTAAGAGAGGGAGGAAGAAAGGCTGGTACAGATCCTAAATTGAGAAACTCAGTACTATTCTGGGAAAACCAATATGTACTAGTATGTTTATCCTAGCAATGACTTTCCGTGACACTTTCCTGAATATATTTGAGCTCATATACAAATTACATTTTTTTAAACCGTGTTAACTATTATCTAGTCTTACATTGAACAATGAGATTTATAGTTTCTGCACAGTAGTGTAATTTACTCTAGTCTAAATGTATTTTAGACTTTGTTGATAGATGGTTCATTGAGTCACTTGCTCAACCATTAGTAATTCTTTTTAATCCTGCAAAATTTTTGAGTAGACAATTTTACTCTGAGATGTAAAAGCTTATATTTTAGCATCTACCAGTACATTTAGACTATCACTAATGAGACATGTATAGTTGAATATCATGTATGGTCCTTGGGATAGTGAATATTTTATATTTTTACTAGAGGCCCAGTATATGAATTCATGCACTGGTGGGGTCCCTCGGCTTGGTCTGTACCCTCTTGCAATCCAGGACCCCTTGGGGATGTCGGACTGCCAGTTTCAGCCTGATCCCCATAGGGGCTGGCCCATCTTGCCAAGTCCTGACTGGGGCCCAGGAAGGGACACGGGAGGGCTCCAGAGCATGTCTGGCCCATCTCAATCCGTGCACTGGACCAGTTTCAACCTGATCTCCACAGGCCAGGCTGAGGAACCCCACCAGTGCAAGAATCCATGCACCAGGCCTCTAGTATGCATATAAGATCTTTGGTAAATCTCTTCTGCCCTTCCCCTCCCCCCTTCCCTCTGAGATTCATCAGTCTGTTCCATGGTTCTATGCCTGTGCATTGAGTGTCTGCCCTCTGGTGGTCAGTGCACATCATAGCTACTGACTGAATGATCCAATGGTTGAATGTTCAAAAGGTCATTCAGTCACTTAGGCTTTTATATATATAAATGCTTCATTGTTGTTGTTTACGTGGTATTGTTTAAACTAGTGTAGTTAAATGTCACTTGTGGGCTGGAATAAAAAGAAGACAAGATAGAATCTGAAGGTAAGGGAGGAGAGAGATGTCAATTCCAGGGAACAAGGCAGAGAGAGAGGAGAGGTGTTTGCTTCCTTTTGTCTTTCTCAGAATCAGTTGGCTTTTCCCCTGTTTGCTATTTCCCTGAAGCAATTGCAGCTGTTGGTAGCCTCAGAAGTTTCAGAAGTGTGGGGGTCCCTAAATCTTTTCCTACTTTTTCTGATTGGTTTCTTTTGCTGGAGGAAAAAATCACTCTGAGCCCTAATTAATGAGTTGGAGTCTGAGACAATGGGGGAAGAATAGGACTAGATATGCCTAATATTTAAGTTAGATATGATCTGAATCACTGGGCCACTTCTTTTTGGAAAATGCTAAGAAAAAAATTGGCAAAAAAACAATAATTTAAGAGACAGTTAAGTTGATCATTCTGTAAACATTTCATATAAGAATAAATGATTGGAATTTCTTAATAGAAATTTCTTAGTTAAAAACCATATGGACATTTATTTATTTTGGAATATTATTGATGCATTTTAAGCACCAACTTAAAATTTACAGTATTGCTAAAAGTTCAGATTCAATTATGTGTGCCCCTATAACTACTCAGGGCTACTTCAATACAACAAAAACATCCATAGCTCCAGAAATGACTGATAGATGGTTCATTGATTCACTTGGTCCATGACTTAAAAGTAATTATGTATATTAAGTAAGAATACTTAATAATATTATCTAGAGAAAATGCTCTTTGGGTCAGCTTACTCCAATAAGTACATTTATTTTTATGAAGTTTGTTAAACAGTAGTGATGATATAAAACTTTAGTATTTTCATTTAAAGTAAAACTGTTGAATGCATTTATATTTATTGTGGCATTATTTTTAGACATAATATTCTGAGAATTACTTAACTTTGGGATCTTGCAGGTCAATGACCCTTCTGTAGGTTTACAAACCTTTACATTGAATTAGAGGGCAGTAGCTTTGCCTCTTTCTAGAATAGGTGGTCTTTGATGGCTTTCACATTTGCTTTTCCATACATTTTAAAAGTAGAGTTACTTAGATTTTCACTTCTTAAACTTCTCGCAAGGTTCCTTATTTTCATAGATTTTTAAAAGTAGGACTTAAATTCCCAAACATTTGATAATGTGGAAAATAATTCATATGGTGGTGGCATCAAGAACTTGTTAACTTGTGATGGGTTTCAACGAAATGCAGGGAGCAGGCACTTCTGATACAAATAATTTTCTACAGCATCTATGAAATAGTGACTACAGTTAATATTGTATTGCATATTGAAAAGTTTCCTGTTTCTACCAGAAAACACATTTACATTCTGTGAGGCTGGCAGCCCCCAGGTGTTTTCTATGTGCTTAACCCTAATGACCTATCACACTATCACCTGTATAATGCAATTTACGGTGGTTCTTCCCTTTTGTAGATTCTAGCCAATCACAGCAAGTGGGCGTGGCCTCTTATGGGGTGAGTCCTTTAAAAGGCCACGCTGTGCAGAGCACACATCACTTCTCCAGAGCAGACTGACTGCGGTTGGAGCTGCCAGTTGAGTGAAGAGAATTCCTACTGACCCTGATATCCACAGAACTTAGCGAGGTGGGAGCACTCATAGCAGACTCTGGTGAATATGGAATTTAGAATGTATATGTTTTTATTTTTTTGAGTAAATGTCTCTATTCCTTTAAAACCTTCAGGTCCAGAGTACCAGCTAGGCACGGAGGTACCCCGGAGCAGCAGCGGCAGCAGCGGAGGCAGCAGCGGCTGCGGCCCTGAGCCGGACCGGCCCGGACCGGACCAGACCGGACCGTGAGTGCTGTGCCGGGCATAAGTTGCCCCTTCCCGTCTAGCCCTTTCGAGCCCGGCCCTGCTTCACGCCTGTCGCTAAGGGGGCTGCGGGACAGCCAAGCGCCGGGCCCAGGGTGCGGCCTGTGCGGGGACCTCAGGAGCCGCCTGCTAGGTGGGGTCGTGATGCTCTCCGCTTTAAATGATTTTAGAAAACAGTGTGCTGCCTGCAGTGCTGTCGTGGGCGCTGAAAACAAGCAGAAGAAGATGGCGCTCACCAGCTTTTCACCTGCACCTACTCAGCTATCTCAGGACCAGCTTGAGGCTGAAGAAAAGGCAAGATCTCAGAGTTCACCGCACACCTCACTGGTCGCCTCCCGAAGAGGACCTCCCCCGTATGGGTACCGGCAAGGCTGGGTACCTCGGTTAGTAGAGGACTTTGGAGGTGGAGGTGCTTTTCCAGAGATCCATCTGGCCCAGGATCCACTGGATATGGGACGAAAGAAACAAATGTCCAATGCACTGGCCATTCAGGTGGACGCTGAAGGAGAAATTGAATGTGATGCAATTGCTCGGCAAGGACAGTCAAAAGACTTCCTTCTTCCCCGACTCCGTCCACACCTTTGGGAACCCCTGGACCCCAACAATGGGCACCCAGCGGGTGCCACGGCCGCCATCATGTCAGACACGGACAGAGATGAAGATTCCACTGGGGGCTGCCCATTTTCTTTAACTGGATTCCTTTTCGGCAACATCAACGGAGCCTTGCAGCTGGAGGGGGAAAGCGTCTTGGACGATGAGTGTAAGAAGCACCTGGCAGGCTTGGGGGCTTTGGGTCTGGGCAGCCTGATCGCTGAACTCACGGCGAATGAAGACTTGGCTGGGAATGACGGTGCTCTGGTGAATGATGAAGGATGGATCAGGAGCACAGAAGATGCTGTGGACTATTCAGACATCAGTGAGGTGGCAGAAGATGAAAGTCGCAGACACCAGCACACAATGGGGAGCTTGCAGCCCCTTTGCCACTCAGGATGTGATGACGAGGACTATGAGGCTGATTGTGAAGACATTGCTTGCAAGTTGATGCCTCCTCCACCTCCACCCCCAGGACCATTAAAGGAGGATAAGGACCAGGAGGCTATTACTGGTGTGTCTGAAGATGGAGGAGGCATCATCATGCCCTCCATCCTTGCCCCTTCCTCTTTGGCCTCAGGAAAAGTGGACTTCAGTAGTTCCTCTGACTCAGAATATGAGATGGGACCTCAGGAAGCAACACAGGCAGAATCCGAGGATGGAAAGCTGACCCTCCCGTTGGCTGGGGCTATGCAGCATGATGCTACCAAGCTGTTGCTGAGTGCCACAGATCAGTTCCCAGAATGTTGGCCTGGAAAGGTGTTACGCTTCCCACGTCTTGTTGGACCAGGAAAGAATGTCCCGTCTGTTTGGCGGAGTGCTCAGAGAAAGAGGAAAAGGAAGCACCGTGAGCTGATACAGGAAGAGCAGATTCAGGAGGTGGAGTGCTCAGTGGAATCGCAAGTCAACCAGAAGACTTTATGGACCTACGACTATGCTCCGCCACCACCTCCAGAGCAGTGTCTCCCTGATGATGAAATCACAACGATGGCTCATGTGGAGTCCATGTTCTCCCAGCCTACTGGAGTTATAGATAAAGTGACAGATACCAAAGCCAGAGTAGCTGAGTGGCGTTATGGGCCTTCCCGACTGTGGTATGATATGCTGGGTGTCCCTGAAGATGGCAGTGGGTTTGACTATGGCTTCAAACTGAGAAAGATGGAACATGAACCTGTGATGAAAGGTAGAATGATGGAGGACTTTAGGAAAGTTGAGGACAGCAGTGGCACTGATCTTCTGGCTGATGAAAACTTCCTGATGGCGACACAACTGCATTGGGAGGATGATATCATCTGGGATGGGGAGGATGTCAAACACAAAGGGACAAGACCTCAGCGTGCAAGCCTGGCAGGCTGGATTCCTCTCAGCACGACTCGAAAGGCCATGGCTTACAATGTTGAGCAAGGTTGTGCAGCCAGCCTGGATGATGACAAGCCTTGGGACTCCATTTTCCCCATTGACAATGAGGAGCTGGTGTATGGACGTTGGGAGGACAACATTATTTGGGATGCTCAGGCCATGCCCCGGATGTTGGAGCCTCCTGTTTTGACACTTGATCCCAATGATGAGAATCTCATTTTGGAAATTCCTGATGAGGAGGAAGAGGCCACATCTAACTCCCCCTCCAAGGAGAGTAAAAAGGAATCATCTCTAAAGAAGAGTCAAATTCTCTTAGGGAAAACAGGAGTCACCAAGGAGGAACCACAGCAGAACCGGTCTCAGCCAGAAGTGAAAGATCCATGGAATCTCTCCAATGATGAGTATTACTACCCCAGGCAACAGCGTCTTCAAGGCACTTTTGGAGGAAATGGTATCCAGCACTCAATTCCTGCTGTGGAATTACGGCAGCCCTTCTTTCCCACCCATATGGGGCCCATCAAACTCCGGCAATTCCATCGCCCAGCTCTGAAGAAGTACTCCGTTGGGGCATTGTCTCAGCCAGGTCCCCACTCAGTCCAACCCTTGCTAAAGCACATAAGAGAGAAGGCTAAGAGGAGAGAACAAGAGAGGCAAGCTTCAGGTGGTGGAGAGATGTTTTTTATGCGCACACCTCAGGACCTCACAGGCAGAGATGGAGATCTTATTCTAGCAGAATACAGTGAGGAAAATGGACCGTTAATGATGCAGGTTGGCATGGCAACCAAGATAAGAAACTATTATAAGCGGAAACCTGGAAAAGATCCCGGGGCCCCAGATTGTAAATATGGAGACACTGTTTACTGCCATACCTCTCCTTTCCTGGGCTCTCTCCATCCTGGCCAGTTGCTGCAGGCGTTTGAGAACAATCTCTTTCGTGCCCCAATTTATCTTCACAAGATGCCAGAAACTGATTTCCTTATCATTCGGACAAGGCAAGGTTACTACATTCGGGAATTGGTGGATATCTTTGTGGTTGGCCAGCAGTGCCCCTTGTTTGAAGTTTCTGGGCCCAACTCCAAAAGGGCCAAAACACATATTCGAGACTTTCTCCAGGTTTTTATTTACCGCCTCTTCTGGAAGAGTGCAGATCGGCCACAGCGGATCCGAATGGAAGATATAACAACAGCCTTTCCCTCTCACTCAGAAAGCAGCCTCCGGAAGAGGCTAAAGCTCTGTGCTGACTTCAAACGCACAGGGACGGACTCAGGTTGGTGGGTGCTGAAGCCTGATTTTCGTTTACCAACTGAAGAGGAGATCAGAGCTATGGTGTCTCCAGAGCAGTGCTGTGCTTATTACAGTATGAGAGCTGCAGAGCAGCGACTCAAGGATGCTGGCTATGGCGAGAAGTCCTGTTTTGCTCCAGAAGAAGAAAACGAGGAAGATTTCCAGATGAAGACTGATGATGAGGTTCACACCGCTCCTTGGAACACCACAAGGGCCTTCATTGCTGCCATGAAGGGCGAGTGTCGCCTGCAGGTGACTGGGGTGGCAGATCCCACAGGGTGCGGTGAAGGATTTTCCTACGTGAAGATTCCAAACAAACCAACCCAACAGAAGGATGGTAAAGAGCCTCAGCCAGTGAAGAAAACAGTGACAGGAACAGATGCAGACCTCCGTCGCCTCTCTTTGAAAAACGCCAAGCAACTTCTACGTAAATTTGGCGTGCCTGAGGAAGAGATGGAAAAGTTGTCCCGCTGGGAAGTGATTGATGTGGTGCGCACAATGTCAACAGAACAGGCCCACTCTGGGGAAGGGCCAATGAGTAAATTTGCCTGTGGATCAAGGCTTTCTGTGGCTGAGCAAAGAGGAATGCCAACGCATCTTTGACCTACAAAACAAGGTTTTGTCGTCAACTGAAGTCTTATCAACTGATACAGATAGCAGCTCAGCTGAAGACAGTGACTTTGAAGAAATGGGGAAGGCTCTAGAGAACATGTTGCAGAATAAGAAAACCAGCTCTCAGCTGGCACGGGAACGGGAGGAGCAGGAGCGGAAGGACCTACAGAGGATGCTACTGGCAGCAGGTTCGGCAGCAGCAGGAAACAATCACAGAGATGATGATACAGCTTCTGTGACTAGCCGGAACTCTTCTGCCACTGGCCGTTGTCTCAAGATTTATCGCACATTTCGAGATGAAGAGGGGAAAGAATATGTTCGCTGTGAGACGGTCCGAGAGCCAGCTGTCATAGATGCCTATGTGCGCATACGGACTGCAAAAAGTGAGGAGGTCATTCGAAAATCCGCCCCTCTTGATGAACAGCATCGAGAAGAGATGCGGAAAGAACGGCGGAGGATTCAAGGGCAGCTGAGGCGGCTTAAGCGGAACCCGGAGAAGGAAGAGCTTAAGGGTCCTCCTGAGAAAAAGCCAAACAAGTTGAAGCAGCGCCCTGCCCTAAAACTGAAATGTGGGGCTTGTGGAGCCATTGGGCACATGAGGACAAACAGATGCTGCCCCCTCTATTACCAAACAAGTGCTCCACCTTCCATGACAGAGGAACAGGAAGAGGAGTTGGAAAAGACAGTCATTCGGAATGATGGTGAAGGACTTATCCAGGGTGAAGGGACCAAGATTGTTTTGGGGAAACAGCTAATTCAGAGTGCAGATGAGGTTCGCAGAAAGTCTCTGGTCCTCAAGTTCCCTAAACAGCAACTCCCTCCTAAGAAGAAACGGCGAGGTGGAACCACTCCCACTGTGACTATTTGAATAGACCTCATAAGACCATCCACCGGCGCCGGACAGACCCCAGGGTGACACTGTCATCTACCCTGGAGTCTGTCCTCAACGACATGAGAGATCTTCCAAATACTTACCCTTTCCACATTCCAGTCAATGGGAAGGTTGTAAAGGACTGCTACAAAATTATTATTCAACCAATGGACTTACAGACACTTTGCGAAAATGTGCGTAAACACCTCTACCCATCTCGGGAAGGCTTCAGAGAGCATTTGGAGCTCATTTTGAAAAACGGCACAACCCACAATGGGCCAAAGCACTCACTGACCCAGAGCTCTCAATCCAAGCTGGATTTCTGTGATGAAAAACTCAAAGAGGGAGAAGACAAATTGGCTCGTTTAGAGAAAGCTATCAATCCCTTGTTGGATGGTGATGACCCAGTGACATTTTCGTGTATTCTGGATAATATTGCCACCCAGAAAATGATGGCAGTTCCATTACTCTTGGCCATTTCGTCACCCCGTTAATAAGAAGTTTCTTCCAGATTTTTATGAAGTGATTGTCAGTCCAATGGATTGAAAGACTATACGTGAGAATATCTCCAAGCACAAGTATCAGACTCGAAAGAGCTTCCCAGATGATGTCAAGCTTATCCTTTCTAACAGTGTTATGTACAACGGGGCTGGAAGTCAGGATGCTAAGACTGCTCAAGAGATTGTGAATGTCTGTTGCCAGACATTGACTGAGTATAACGAACATTTGACTCAACTTGAGAAGGATATTTGTACAGCTAAAGAAGCAGCTTTGGAAAAAGCGGAACTAGACAGTTTGGACCCAAGGACCCCAGGGCCTTATGCACCTCAGCCACCTGATTTAGAGAGTACCAACACATCCCTCAGTATGTCTCGAGATGCCTCTGTATTTCAAGATGGGAGCGATATGGTCTATCCTGGATATTCCCACTACCACTCCAGAAAAGCAGGTGACACAGGAAGGTGAAGATGCAGATGGCGATCTTGCAGATGAAGAGGAAGGAACCGTGTAACAGCCTCAAGCCAGTGTCCTGTATGAGGATTTGCTTATGTCTGAAGGAGAAGATGATGAGGAAGATGCTGGCAGTGACGAAGAAGGAGATAATCCTTTCTCTGCTACCCAACTGAGTGAAAGCGGAAGTGACTCTGATGTGGGATCCAGTGGGATGATACCCAATCAGCCCCGTATGCTTCAGGAGAACACAAGGATGGGCATGGAAAATGAAGAAAGCATGATGTCCTATGAGGGAGACGGTGGGGCGGCTTCTCATGGTTTGGAGGATGGCAACATCAGTTATGGGAGCTATGAGGAGCCCGACCCCAAGTCGAACACCCAAGACACAAGCTTCAGCAGCATCAGTGGGCATGAGGTATCAGAGGAGGAAGAAGATGAGGAGGAAGAGCAGCGCTCTGGGCCAAGCGTACTATGCCAGGTCCACCTGTCAGAGGACGAGGAGGACAGTGAAAATTCCACTCCATTGCCGGGGACAGTGACTTGGGCTCTGATGAATGAGGCTTTCTTTGGGCCTCCTTAGTTAGCCTTCCCTGTTCCCCAGCCTAGGTGATTTAATGTGTTTATATTTGTACAGCGTCTGACCCTGAAATCACCAGCTAAATTAACACCTTAGCCTTTAAAAAATAGTAAGTAAATAATATTGAATTAATTGCCTCTCCTGATCTTCCTGGGCCAATGCCACCATTTGGATTAAACTCAAGCAACACCCTTTGCTCTTCCACTGATAAAAATAAAGCAATCTCCTCCTCCTTCAGTGCTTGCCTTTGACTTCATTTATTGCTCTTTGTATTAGTTTTCTCTGGGGAAGAAGGAGAAATTATGAAAGGACTTATAACTCTATGTTCTCTTGGTATTATTAGAAATTTCCCAAGCATGGTATCATTTCAGTTTTCTAGCAGGCTGGAACACAAACATGACCCTTGGTCCTTTCCAGTCGGAAGAGAGGAGAGAGCCACCCCCCCCCCCATTCAAAAGAGGCTCCGTACATTAGAAAGGAAGCCTAAGTCAGGTGCTCCGGCTCCTATGAGCTCCATGTCTAAATTTCAAAGGGCGATAAGAAAAGCTGAAGCTAATGGAGATCTTGACTTCTCACTCTGCTTCCCAGATGCATATGAGAATGAGTTTGGTGAGCACGAAAACCCCACCTAGGAGTTTATACCTTACAAAATACTTAAAGAATTAAAATTGGCCAGCTCTGAATATGGACCTCTAACTCCTTACACACAAAACTTTGTGAAGCCCTAGGCAGTCAATGGATGACTCCTTATGATTGGTCACGGGTTTGTAAAGCCAGTCTCTCAGGAGGCGATTACTTATTATGGAAAACTGAATTTGAAAAGCTTGCTAAGAGAGCTGTAGCCACTAGCACAAATTTCAGAGGAGGAATAACCCTAGACATGATATTAGGAGAAGGTGATTATATCACGGATCAGGAGCAAATGTATATGCCCAAAGAGGCACTTATTAAAGTAACCAGTGGTGCAGTAAATGCCTGAAAATCCCTACCTTGTACAGTAGGAAAAACAATGACCCTTACAGAGGTTAAACATAAGGTCGAGGAAGCATATCAGGATTTTCTTTCTTGCCTCATACAAGCAGTCAAGAGAGTAATCACTAATGACGAGGCAGCCGATATGCCAATCAAACAACTGGCTTTTGAAAATGCTAAAAATACCTGGCAGGCTTTATTAAGGCTGATTCTCAGAACGGGAACTATAAATGATTTTATAAAACAGTGTGCTGCCCACGGTGCTGTCGTGGGCGCTGAAAACAAGCAGAAGATGATGGCGCTCCCCAGTTTTTTACCTGCACCTACTCAGGTGTCTCAGGACCAGCTTGAGGCTGAAGAAAAGGCAAGATCCCAGAGATCACGGCAGACCTCACTGGTCGCCTCCCGAAGAGGACCTCCCCCGTATGGGTACAGGCAAGGCTGGGTACCTCGGTTAGTAGAGGACTTTGGAGGTGGAGGTGCTTTTCCAGAGATCCATGTGGCCCAGTATCCACTGGATATGGGACGAAAGAAACAAATGTCCAATGCACTGGCCATTCAGGTGGACGCTGAAGGAAAAATTGAGTATCATGCAATTGCTCGGCAAGGACAGTCAAAAAACAAGGTCATTTTTAGCAAGTACACTGACCAGGTTCCCAAGGAGGTCATGAATGCAGATGACTCAGACCTGCAAAGACCTGATGAAGAAGCTATTACAGAGATAACAGAGAAGACAAGGGTGTCCTTAGAAACATCTGTATCACAGAAGGTTGCTGCTGCCATGCCAGTTCAGTTTCTCCCATACACACCATCTCAGCAAGGTATGGCTTTCAACTCTGGAGCAAAACAGAGGGTTATTCGTATGGTGGAAATACAGAAAGATCCAATGCATCCTCCAAGGTTCAAGATAAATAAGGAAATTCCCCGAGGACCACCTTCTCCTCAGGCACCTGTCATGCATTCTCCTAGCCGAAAGATGACTGTGAAGGCACAACAAGAGTGCAAGATTCCTCTGTGTATTTCAAACTGGAAAAATGCAAAGGGTTATACAATTCCATTAGACAAACGTCTGGCTGCTGATGGAAGAGGATTGCAGACAGTTCACATCAATGAAAATTTTGCTAAACTGGCTAAAGCCCTCTACTCTGCTGATCGGAAGGCTCATGAAGCTGTGGGAATGCGTGCCCAAGTAGAGAGAAAGATGGCTCAAAAAGAAAAAGAGTGACATGAAGAGGAACTGAGAGAAATGGCCCAGAAGGCTAGAGAGAGAAGAGCTGAGAAAAAAATGCATGTGGAAAAAGAGGATGAGGAGGCATGTGAGAGGGATGACATTCGGCATGACAGGCGGAAAGAGAGACAGCATGACCGGAAAATTTCCAGGGTAGCGCCTGATAAGAGGTCGAAACTGCAGAGAAATGAAAATCGCGACATCAGTGAGGTCATTGCTCTTGGTGTGTCCAATCCTCGGACTTCCAATGAAGTTCCATATGACCAAAGGCTGTTCAACCAATCCAAGGGCATGGACAGTGGTATTGCAGGTGGAGGAGATGAAATTTACAATGTCTATGATCAAGTCTGGAGAGGTGGTAAAGATATGGCACAGCATATTACCCAGGCCCAGTAAAAATCTGGATAAGGACATGTATGTTGATGACCTAGAAGCCAGGATACAGACCAACAGGTTCATTCCCAAAAAGGAGTTTTCTGGTTCAGACCGTCAGCAAAGAGGTAGAGAAGGACCAGTTCAGTTTGAGGACGATCCTTTTGGTTTGGACAAGTTCTTGGAGGAAGCCAAACAGCATGGTGGCTCTGAAAGACCCTCAGTTAGCAGCCGCCCCAAGGAACATGAGCATGAAGGCAAAAAGACGAGGAAGGAATAGCTACAACTCTTCACAGTGAATGGACTATTACCCATAACCATAATGATGCAAGTTATATGGGCAAACACTTTGTAAACGGGCCAGATAAAAACCAAATCTGGGGTCAGATCCCAGCAATACTTTTTCTTACAGCAGAAAGGGGGAATGGCAAATTCTACTTTGAACTATTTACTTTTATTAAAGAGTGGGTTGTGTTTATGCATCTCCCAGCTTTTGGCATTTATAAAACATACTGCCCCATAAATGAATTTAAGACCACTTCCTTTTATGTGACGTTAATACTTTTGGGTTAATATTTTGTGTAGGAATGACTGCTTGCTTACGAGTAAAGGAAACCCAACCACAGTGAGTACAAGGATGTTCACCGATTGGAACTGTCCTACAAAATAATGTATGCCCCTAATTTGCTCTGATATAATTTGGAGTGGGAAAAGTAAGCGCTTGCTTGGTGCATCCATTTGTTTCAAATAAAAACATTTAGACAAAAATAACTAACTAACTAACTAACTAACTAACTAAATAAATAAATAAATAAAAACCACTGTGTTGTAGCTATAGCTGCAGCCCTCAAGGGGGAGAGATACCCTCAATATGTAAAGGGCATAGGACAAGCCAGCAATAATACAGGTAATAAAAGAAGTACGAACTGACACTCTTGTGGCTTACCTGGGCACTTTAGCAGAGAATGCACAAATAAAAATAATGACACCCAGGCCAGATGGCAAGCTCCTCAACGTCTGGAAATAATTCAGGGAACAATATTGATGCTCCAAAAATTGTTTGTCCCCGATGTCAGAAAGGATTCTATTGGGCAAAGAATGTAGATCAAAATACCATAGAAATGGTCGGCTTTTAATTCTACAAACCGCTCCCAAGGAGGTTTTATCCCATCACCTCAATTGGGAAACTTGAGAGGGGGTCAGCCCCAGGCCCCTGCAATAATAGGGGCATCAACCCTCAACTCCTCTGAAAATTTCAATCAGTCATTTACCTTTTCAGGGCAACTCCAGGCAGTGCAGGATTGGACCTCCATTCAACGACCCACACAATACTAACCACAGTCTTCCAAGTCGTAGGCATTCCTAAGGGGTGTGTCTGGGCCGCTGCCTGAGGGAACTGTAGATTTAATATTAGGATGGAGCTCCACCTCGTTACAGGGGATCTTAGTCATCCCAGGAGTGGTTGATGCAGACTGCACAAGAAAAATACAGATTTTACTTTCCCCACCCACCACAACTATACAGAATCAGCCCATCCAGAGAATTTCCCAATTGCTCCTGGGACCAATAGATAAAGTAGGGACAGTCGTTACCCAGGAAGCCAGAGGGGCCGGAGGCTTTGGATCTAGTGATGCAGCATTTTGGATACAAGAAACCCAGGCTGCTAGACCTCCACAAAGTTTTAGGATACCGTCCCTCATATGTGCCCTATGACGACTGTTTATTTAAAAACCAACAAGGTCTATTATACTGTGGGTGTAACCAGAATCTCAGCTGAGCATACAATGTGATACACAGGCCTGAGTCACCAGGCAAAAAGCCATAGTGAGTCTTCCAGACGTGGGTCACTTGGCAGAAATCTCAGTGCCCGACAGTGTGCTCCCTGTGTGTACGTTCGAAGCCACGCAAGCACACCCGTGGATTTCAGTTGTACGATGTCGTCTGATGGCACACACACACACACATACACACACACACAAACACACACACACATACACATACACACACAAACACACACACAGGAGCCCCTGCCTTCTTGCAGATAGTGCCCCTGCTGGACCTTCCCCCCTCGGGTCTACCCATGCCTGGGGAGGTCCAGGCACATGGCTCCACTTCTCCCAGAGGAGGCTGAGGAAGGGGGTGGGGGGTGGCGAGCATGCTTGCATCAGCGCTCCTGGACCAGGAGAGGGCAACACTGGGCTGCCTAAGCGATTCATGGGCTTGGGGGTCTTGAGAGATGGGGCAGGTGTCCAAGGAGGCTGGCAGGGCTCCTTCTGCACGCCTTGTGGGGCAGCATTGCTGTTTTCTGGTTGGAAGGGGGGACAATAAATATTTAGACAGGCTCTGTTGTGCCCGGGAAAAGCCATAAGGAAAAAAGCCACAGTAAATCTAGACGTGGGTCACTCAGCA